GAATATCTAAATTTTCTCTTCGATTCTACCTTCAATCGTCCTGTTTTCCTCCTAATGTTCATACAAATGGACAGCCAAAAGACAGCAGTCGAAAGCGATGCACGGAAGTGCATGTTTATTGATTGTTCGAACTGAAATATTTCAAAGTGCTTCGATGTTGACTGACCCTCAGCCGCTGTGTCTCTCCAACCACGCTGGAGGAGTCGTTAACTAATCGGTGTGCGAATGTGATTTGAATGCAGGTGAAAAGTTTACACATGAGATTCGTATCGACTCCACACATCTCCTACGGACACCTATCCAACTTCCTGTTGTTCCCGTTCGTCGACTAGACCCCAATACTCTTGTGTTCCCGCTCGAATAAACATATGTCGTAACTCTACAGTACCCCCTTTAACAAAAAATCTGTTGATGCAGGCCAGCCATTGGATATAGTTTATTTGGACTTCTCCAAGGCATTTGATCGAGTAAACCACCAAATTCTACTGCAAGAGCTCTTCAACTACGGAGTAAGAGGTTTGGTTCTGAACGGGATCAAGGAGTTTCTCCGACAAAGAACCATGTCAGTTCGGGTTGGTGATTCGTTATCAGAGCCTATCACCGCTACCCGGGGTGTTCCTCAAGGATCCGTACTAGAGCCTCGTCTCTTTCTTCCATTTATAAACGACCTGCCACATGTCCTTGGGCCTAATACACTGCTATTTGCAGATGACGCTAAGATCTGCAGAACTGTAACACATCCTGAGGATCATATAGCACTCCAACAAACGATCGACGCAGCCCACCGATGGTCAGTCGCCAACGACATGAAGTTCAACGTTTCCAAATGCAGAGTTATCTCCATGCGGCAAAAGACTCGTTTCTCCTACGTTCTGGGGAACCACATACTACCGCATGCCACTGATGAAAGGGATTTGGGAGCTATGGTACAGGAGGGCGTAGGATGTTCCACAAACTGTGCCAGAGCATCATCCGTGGCTCTAAAGCAAGTGGGACTTCTCAGACGTGTTTTCGGGCAGTTCGAAAGAGCACTGTTCCCACGCTTGTCATCAGCGTTCGTTCGGCCACACACGGAGTACGCCGTTCAAGTATGGAATCCATGGTTGAACCGCGACAGGAAGGCTCTAGAACGTCCGCAGAGGCTGTCAACAAAATTGGTAAAAGGTCTATATAACAAGACATACTCCGAAAGACTGCAAATATTGGGACTGTACTCATCTCAATACCGCCGACTTCGAGGGGACCTAATATTGGCATATCACTTACTGCATCAACCCAACCACCCTTGCCGTTCTCTGCTGACTTTATCTCATAATTATCACCTCAGGGGACATTCACTAAAGGTGAAGACCTAGAACAGCCACCTTGGTTACCGGCAACACTCGTTTGCAGTCAGAGTGTGCGGCGCATGGAATTCTCTCCCATCTGATTTAGTGTGTGCTCCTATAGTTGAACTATTTAAATCGCAACTTGATAAAGCATTGGAACACTTAAAATTTCAACATCGGTGAGTGATCATGCACATTATTATCATTGTTATTTTCTCTTTGTGAAGTTATTCAAAACATTCTGTAAAAATCCTATGGGGCATGATAAGCTTTAGCTTTGCTAAAACGCCCATAATAAAACTTTGACTTTGACATATTCTAGTTGTTTTAAGGAACAGGTTTTTCATCAAGTTTGTAACAGTTTTGGGATTTGATTTTTTTCTACCTCTCTCCAATTTGTATATATATATATATTTATCTGAAGTTGTTAGAATGATACTTGAAATTACTAACTCATTTCTGTAACCAACGGAGTTGTATGCTACCAGACTCATCTCCAAGTCGCAAGGAACAGATCTATCATTTTAGGTTGACATTGCTTTATTGAATACGTGGCCTTGCAAGCGAATCCCTCTGCGCCATAAAGCCACATATCTCCGTCTAAAGCCTCACTATCTATACGGATCTGGCCCGCCACAAAACAAGGCTGTTACCCTACAGGTGGTTGCGCACGAATCAGAGATCTATTCTCTATTAAAATAACTCAGTGGTTTTATGTGCCCAACATTCTTCACGGATGATTTCAATAGTCGCATAAAGCCTAAATTATTTCCAACTTCATCTCTCAACATTTGACTGTTCAGGTAAGCCGATCGAAATCCATTTGATGATCAAACTGAAATATCTTTACTTAATCACATGGGATCTTCGTAAACTCAAGCAGATGTGCCGACAATCCACCTTAACTGAAACCCTGAAAACCATCAATTTAGAAACAGAGTTGTTTATCGGGTTACGAATATTCGAACGGTGTGCTGTTTTTTCGCATGGTACACGTTCGCTTCAGTAAAAACCACACAAATTAGACACGGTATTGCGATGTGGAGTTCCTGTCTCGTCAGTAATTGGTATCATTCCTCTGCGTCTCTCAGTGAAACACTGTATTCTAGAAGAGGCGGATTAACCGCAATTCTTTGTGACCGGCCCTTCTAGAATCTCTGGACCCGTATAGTGGCTTGATCAAAAGTCGTATGAGCCTAAACACCGATCTCCAGCAGGTTGCAAACCCTGTCCAGGTCTACCACCTCATAGACCAGAGCCTTTCGATCAAAGACTTGGTTTAGGGGTCCTGTTAAAAGTATGGATAAAAGCAAGAACGACACAAAATTTATTTCTGATCCACAGTCACAACTAGAGGAAGCAGTGTAGATAGGTGATGTGTACACAACTTTACACAAAAACGAATTAGGACTCATCACATTGAATTAGTGTGGTGGTTGATGCGTGACAGGGGCAAATGTTTTGAGAACCTTGAATAGTATGGAAGTGTAAGCGACCGGACGCAACCTACCTGATTCCTTCGCGGTAATGGTCGGATACAGCGGATCTGCGACTCCCCTTTGATCTCGCCCTCTGTGATAAATTGAGTAAACAGTGAAATTCCCTCTGGCAAAATGATTCTGGAAGCTGGCTGGTGTGCATGACTTATCGCCATTTTAGCAGGCTGTCACATACATTCACACCATGCTGTTTTTGTCTACGAATGATATGCCCTGTATTTTATCGGAATACTCTGTTCAGGTTGGATCAGTTGGTGGATGACGCGATTGGCGGGAAGTCGCAGGGCGGTGTGCAGCCGTCGATCGGCGTTTCAGCACCCGGAGCCAGCAAAGCTGTCCGTTTACGAATGAAGGATATTCATCAGCTGGTAAGTTGACTCTTCTGTGTCTGGCCCTGTGTCATAGCTTGCACGCTGAGGAATTGCAAAGCGTTCGTGTAGAAGGAGGACAGTGGACGCTAACGACTCATGCACTATCAGTTGTGGTTATTTGCTTCTCTTACTTAGATGGGGAATGCTGGTAGCGTATCGATCACATTCAACTGTGGCTCGCGATACGCACGTCACGCCGTACCCATGTGGCTTTCATATCATTGTCGGTCGGGGGACATACTATGATCGTCTAACATTCAATCGTTTCATATTGTTCTGTTTACCGTTCTTGCTTTAGCATTGGATAACCCTTGGATCTGACGTGAATATTAGACCTCAAAGACAATGAATATTCCTTGTCGGATTTCGAAAGCTCCTTGACAGTGCTATAGGATTCCTGCACCATTGACCAGTGTCACCGACGTGTAATCACTTGTGAATGAGTCAGTGTTCTGGACAGTCTATACGCGGTCAAATTGCTGTGTGTTTCCTAACCACTGGTCTATCTGGTTCGCTCGTTCATGCACAAATTGTGTAAATATTGAACGCAGTGACAATCAAATGAACCTGTGACATCTCATTTTGCTGTATGATGCAGCTCCCGCCTCTGATGCGGACGAAGATTACGATGTCAATCGGGGCGTTTGGAGACGTGTAACGGTCGGCTACTGAACAGTTACAAATTCCAGTTTGTGGTAAAGTAAATACTTATTTCTCTCAGCATCTATGAACTCGGTCATTCACACCTCTTGCTGATTTCGTAATGAGATCAGCTAGCACATGCAGAGGTTAGTGCAACAGGAGGGACAGTAGGTTATCATAGACGACACTCGATATAAATTGCTTAGTTAGCCGGGCTGTTTTTAAACATTGCGCGCTCCCTCGTGGTTTGCCACTTCAAGTCCTGGAGCTCCGCTTTCCAGTTCGTATTGAGTGAACAGTACGTCCCCGCGACCGTGGGCCCTAAGCACGTCACAACAGTGCGTGTGTAATGACAAATACTCTCCTTCGTGCTTGTATTGTGATTGATCCATCGATCCAGTCTGTTTTATCCGTCTTCTTTCAGAACGGTAGCCAGTCACCTTCTCTTTTCAACTGGCTATCACCACTGTGAACGACAGAACTGTGGTTGTTTTTTTATCGATGCGATTTCACTTTTGTTCCGATTAAAAATACAGTGTGTTGGTTGGACAGCAGCAGCTCGGAAACTGCCGCGTATAGTTCTCCAACCAGTAGTCCTCCTTATCGATTGATTGTATGGAGTGAGCCCTCGCGTTGATAGTAATAAAATTTGCCACTCTCTTGGTAATCAACCAGTCAGGTAAACCACTGACACCGCATAAGTTATCCCATAAACAATATGCAATGAGGGCAATGAAACATTACCTCATCAAAGTGGAGCCTACTCAAGTGCGTGGACAAAGTTAAATAGTGCCATATGATAATCGTCAAAACCATGAATAATAATAATAATAATGCCTTTACTTGGTTTTTATTTATCAAGTGTGCAATTCATTTCCAGTCAATTATAAAGGTTGCCTGGGAAATGGGATAAAAATGTGCCGGTAGGTGGGTCCAGGCGGACGAGGGTGCAATGAAGCATCTCCACATTTCATGTCGGTTAACATGGTAAACCTGTTCACCGTAGCTAGTAACCAACATTCCCCATCATATATTTCACTTTTTAGCAAGGATTGGAATAATGATTTTTTACGGTAGTAAAACACCTATATCTCCATGTTTATTTTCTATCTGCTTTCATTAGATATTCTGCCTTGTGATAGTGCTTCGAACCTCTTGTCGTTTTCACTCAAGTCACATGTGTTTCTAAAACTGGTGGGTATTACACCTTGTGAGTGATGTTTTGTTCAATCCGCACGTACGATTGCCACATGCGCCTCTTGCTTCAGACCCAACAACAACGCGGAGAGAGAGAGACCACGAATCGAGACAACAACAGTTCGGGTGTTTTCATTGATTAAGGTTCGATATAAAAATACATAGGGTAAGTTAGGCGCAGACTGACACATCAGTTGGTCGATCGGACAACCCTTAGCTGACTCGTCCTGCAATCATCCAATCCGTACCCAGCTTGCCTGGAGCGTCGCGAGCGTGCGTGGCTCTTGACACGGATGCGTGCACGACCTGATAGATTGTTTGAATTCTAACTGTCCTAACCAGGCTGACTCTAGTCAGTTGTACCTAACGTCGTTGATACGCGCTTTACTCGTACACTGTCCCTGCTATACCAATCACCTAGTGAAACCGACCAGGGTGTCCTGAGGCCATTTTGTACACCTGTTCTTGGGTAGAGAGAAGCTCGAATTTTCCTACTCGCTCGGAAAAGAGGTTGCTACTCATGACTCTTGAATGCTTAGTTTAACTAAGACAACTGTAACACAGAAAGTTCATGCACGATTATGTAGTCCCTCTGATCGAACGGATTGGCCCGCAAAATGTTTCTTTTGTTTTCCTAAGCCCTCCCTCTCTCCGCCAGCCTGTCGCTCTTCGAAAAGACTCGGTGGCGTGTTTTTCTGTGTTTCCCGGCACGACAAATAAGAAGGAGAACACGGAACAGTGCACGGGGATTCATGCGTGAAAAAGCGGGGAACCTTTTTCTTTCTTTTTTTTCCGAGCCCTGTGTGTAACCAACGCAGGTGACAGTCACAATGCTCGGGACTGCCAGAGTCACGTGCATTGTGATTTTATGGCTTCAGTTTGATTTTTGACCTTCGTCTTTTTTTGTCCCCGTCTAGGCGATCAGTGCTGTGGTAATTGTTTTTCCCACCTCACCTGTTTTTTTTTACTTCTCTCACTGTAAAACATTTGCAAGGGAATCTTGGTGTTTTACATGGCCACAGGAACCCTCCCTGACGATCCCGTACCACGAACCGAGGCAGCTGTGAGCGAGCTGCTTCGTGGTCTCGACTGGAGTTGCACATCAGCCGGTGATTTTATCTTCACCTGTATGTTATGCACGAGAGACTCATCGGTGAAAAAGCTTGCATCCCATTCGTTCCTGTGCGATCAACTCCCTGTCACACCCAGTTTACCGGAAGTTCGTTTACTCCCGCCCCCGGTGAACCCGACAACAGGTTCTTCCGATATGGCCATGGATTCAGGTGAGATAGTGTTCTGTTGTTTGCTCTTCAAAATCTTCCGTTTCGATCGAAGTTGAAAATCTTGATTTTTCCTTATTCCCACCCCCCCCCCCCCCCCCCCCCCC